AATAAAATAAAATTAATTTAGTATGTTATCACTTATTTCGAGTAAATCACCGATTTAAGACTAACTTTTGTTATATATGTTAAACAGTAATTAGTTTATAATAAATGTACTTACATTTACTTGCCAAACAAATTGACTATGAATTGAACAAAGAAATTAATTTTATTACTATTTTTTCTTTCCTACATCTTTATATATGCATATATTTGTATGACGTGCCATGGTGATTTCCAGTTTGAAATAGGGGAAGAAAGATTACTCATAGAGATCGATTGTCAAGAATAAAATGATTACATGCTTTTTAAGACATCTTAGTGGAATCAGGCAGAAAAAGCACAACAAAAATTCATATTGAATTGAGGATTTTGATTGGTATTGCTAATTGGAAGAACCAATCACATTCCTCAAGTCAATTTTAATTCGTGTTGTACTTTCGACCTGAGAGAAAAAGATGAGTCAGTAGGCAAGCAATGAAAATCTCTATCATTGCGTCTGAAGAGTGTGGGTGTCGGTCTGGATGTGGAATACCTTGAATTGACAAACCCACACCGACATCGACACCGACACCCACACCCACGTATTTGTGAAATGACCATGGAACTAGCACAAAAGTGTATCAATCAAAATGCTATGAACGGGCACGGTCCAAAAATCTTGTGCCCGACCAGCTCTACATACCCTCGCTTTTAATAATACAATTGTATTCAATAACCAGATGAAAACTGAGTAAATAGGTTTCGTTTTTCTGAAAAAGGCTGAAATTGTAGCAATCTTGGCAATTACGATCGCAAATTCTAAATCATGTTTAGGATGGGATTGAATAAGAGCAAAAAAAAATAAGCATAAAATTAAAAGGTCATTGCGGATGTTGGTAGCTTAGCATCTCTTATACGCTCAAGAATTCATAGATTCATACCGATTTAATTTTTACTGAAGACTCAATACCATTCTAGTAAATATTTTTGAATGAGTATGAGCTGGAGAATGAATGTGATACACATATCTACCTACCCTACGTAAGATCTCTTTATAAAGCAAAAATTCACGAAGGTCGTTTTATTTTGTGATAATATATACATGCTCCAATTTTCTAACGAAACTACAAGAGAAAATCATTCCCCATAAAACTGTGCGTTAATTTTAGAATTTTGGACAATGGAGGAAAACGGAGATGAAGACCTATTCTCAGAACTTCATGTAATGTCGTACAATATACAAAGCTTGGGCAAACCAAGAAATAATTTCTTTAACCTTGAAGCATTCCGAACGTATATGAGTCGTCAATCTCATCAACCACATATTATTTGTCTACAAGAAACATTTCTTGATTCGCAGCACTCAGATAAATCTGTTGAAATCAAACATTATAAGCTTTTTCGTTGTGATGATAATTCCAAAAGAGCTGGTATTATTACTTACGTGCGAAATGATGTCAAAAGTAGGCTGATTCTTTCCGACTCCGACTTACAACTTTTGATCGTTCAAGTGACGATTGGTAAGAGAATTATTGATGTAAGCAACAGCTATCGCCGACAAAGAGTTACATATAAAGCGCTTCCCGAGGTACCTCCTTTGGCACCAAAACAATATTTCAAAAACTACACTGAGCAGCACATTTTACACACAACTGCAGGACAGCGGCTACTGATAGGTGATTTCAATGATGAAACACGTATAAACGAAATGCCATTATATATAAAAAGTATGTGTGAGAAGCTAGCCGTAAAACCAACTGTAAACATTGCAACTACGCGAAAAAGTAGCCGTTGTATTGACAATCACTTTTGCTCGACTGACTTAATGGAATTAATCAAAAGCGATTTGATTCATAATCCATGGGAAAAACCAAGTTCTCCTCATGCAGTCATCGACAACAGATACGGTTATCTGTCATTAAATGATGATCCAAATCTACTCACACCGATTACATCTTCATATCATACGTCAAGTCTCAGCACAATTCTAGATTCTCCCAATTCAGACGACTCATTAGCTTCGTCTTCTAAGATCACCTATTATCGATTAATCACCGATACTCAAATCTTGAAATATTTCTTAAATGATCATAGATTTTTACATGATTCGTTTCCGCTACGTAAAGAATCAATATACGGTGAAACAATGATGAAATCAGCCATGCATGTTTCATCGCAAGCGTTGAAAAATCCTATACTAAAAGGTCGCATTCCGCAACTAGATCCTAAAATCACGATATGCTCGATTAAATCAAATACCGATAATACAACACTAAGGAATGATCATACTCCTGCAATCAAGCAAACGCCAAGAATAAAAGTCGGAAATAAACAAAAATCCCCATGTCTTGTTGAAATTTCTGAAGCCTCAAACGCATCTAGACCAAATAAGGGAGAACATCAATCCATACCTTTCAAAGGTATGAAACCAAAAGAACAATCACAACTTCTCACCCAACTACCATACACAAATGAGGATAAAACAGTTAAAAATTCGACCCCACAAAACTGCAGCATAGACTTAACTGTGAAGGAGCCACTCCTACACGACACAAGTCTCAATTCAACCAGAAAACTTATAACTCTTCATGACAGAAGCCTCGTTTCAACTGTAAAAAATTCAAGATCGAACGACATAAGACTCATTTCAACTGAAAAAGATAACACATTGAAAAATTCACTGATGAAACCTAAACAAAATTATCACGAAACAGATCATAGCGCACATCCAGAAAACAAACATATGGCACAAGCAGAAACAGACACTTCCGAAAGAAGAACACACGACAAGCAAAATTCAACTGCGCCGACTATACGTCCTGTTGAATCGCAAATCAGTCAAGAATTTAATCGTTTCAGAGACAGCCGTAGTCGAAATCCCATGTTGAAAACCACTGCATCTGTGCCTGATTCTAGCCAACATGTTGTTGCTCGTCAACGGATAACAGTTAATTCAAAGCTAGGGGGATTGGTGAAAACGACAACCAAGCACCAACAAGTAGACGTTAATGGACCCACGAATAGATTTACGGTCGACAGACGCGATTGTGTGCACGAAAACCCATTATACAAGAAGCACACGCTCATGCAAGAAGGAAAAAATCATCTTGATCCGCCACAGAATTACAAGGGAGTTAAATCGAAATACTCAGCAGGTCATGGTACTGAAGCAGCAAAGAAAGCTGGTATTAACGCAGCTATCGATACAACGGTATATACTGCTCTATCTACAGATAAAGGGCGTCCTAACTTAAGCGACGCTGCAAAAACGGTCGTTACTGCTACCGGCGAGGCGTTTGTCACCTCAGCTGTTCCTGGTGGTCAATTATTGATGACTCTTCGAAAAGCTGCTGCTAGTCAGAATTATGAAAACTTACCTGTTGACCTGTTGCTGGCTGCACCATCTATGATTCCTGGAAATCCTGTTCGTTTCGAACGTCAGCATATACAAACAAAAGCACCATTATTTGGCAGTAGTTTACGCTCAGACGACGTCGAAAGAATAAGTGCTGATTTTTCCCTACCATTTCTCCGAAGTATGCCATCGATTGGAGGAGATATTTCTCAAGTCACAGCCGAAAATTCTCGAAATGGCGTGACAACTATCCGAAAAGCAACTGCTGCCAATGCTCATTTAAGCATTGGTTCTGCGCTAGAAGGGTCTCTTGGACTTTTATCTGGTACTGACACCGAGGAAGCAGTTAAATCTGAGACTGCAGATGGAGACATTTGTACTACACAACGAGAAAAACAATTCAGCGGACAATTTGGTGCAAGCCTTCGGGCAGCTGATCGAAAAGACGCAATAGACATTGGTCCTGCCTTCAATGAAGAAATCAAAACAACCAGTGTTAAAAGCAAGGCTGATGGAAATGCAATCTCTATATACAACAACTTACCGTTAAGGCATTTGAAAGAAGTGGAAGATAACTTTCAAAAAGGTTCTGGAACTGCATCATGCGTGCACGAAAGTTATGTAGATCGTGAAAGAGCCGAATTACCTACTGATGGTCGTGTCCAAAGAATTTGTACCGAGCAAACCATTACTACTGACAATAAACAAGCCTTTGGCTTTTGGAAAACAGGTCATAAGACCGAAAACTTTGATGTGTACAAAGCAGAAGAAAACACAGTTCATCGTTTTGATCAAGCGCTACCGAGCGAACTCGAAACAACACTCACTCATAATCACATAGAATTATCTGGTCGTGATTTGCGTGAAAGTAGTGAAGAAACAACAAACTTTTGGCTCTTTTCAAGTAAAACAAATAAAAAGTATCCGATGGGGGAAAAACCCGATAAAGAAGTCATAAAAGCAGAATGGTCAGACAAAACACGAATAACAAGCAAGAAAGATGGAAGTGCATATGATGCTCGACAAAGTACGAGTAAGGATGGTACAACCGAGATCACAGAAATCGAAAATGATTGTTATAAGAAAATATATCATGCAGACACAAACGATCAGATAGAGTCAATTATAGGACAAAGAAATACAATCAGTAAAGAAGAAAACAGGCAGGGATTTTTTCAGCCAGAAGTTAACACAATTTATTCCGAGACACAACAAGTTTTTGAACGTACAGCGGAACATACTGAACTTCAAGCTCCGCATTCAGTAGCAACTGTAAATGTTAAACAAACTTATGGACTCTTAACAAATAAAACTGAAAAAAGTGTAACAATTTCGAGAAGTGAAGAAGATAAACCAGAAGAATATCATGAAGTTGTAAAAACACTAGGTAGTGCAGCAAATGGTGCTTTGAGTGCCTTGACATCCAATGGACTTCACTTGTTATCTGATCCCACGGCTCGTACGAAAGAAAATGTTCTCAATGCTGTCATAGATGCAGGAATAGAAGGCGCAATCGGATTGGCACATTCGAATGTTGCTGCACATCAAAACTCCATTGGCTCAACTGCTGTAGCTGCTGCCGTCACAGTGGCTGGACATGTCGTTAGAGGAATGACATCCTCAACTGACGAAGCCTCGTCCATCAAAGAAGTATTGAAGAATGCAGCTCTATCTAGCGCACCTTCAGTTGCCGTCGGGGCTGCAAATCTAGTTCCTGGGATGCCGGATTTTCTGAAAAATTATGCCGGAGTAATAGCAAGTTTATGTATTCAAACAGAGAAAGTAGTACAGGAGTATCGAGATGGCCAAATGACCTTAGACGAAGCAATATTCACAATCGCTCAAAATGTTAATTCCATCATTACCGAGTATAGTATCACAGCATGTGCAGTACCTGCGCTAGTGGGACTGTTACCACTTGGTCCACTTGGAGCATCTGTGGCTAGTTGTATTTTAGTGCCTGCTATGCGGTTAGCTGCATCTCATGGAATATCTCCAAACCCTCTTCATCTCGAACGTCAACACACACAAGCGAATGGACCATTATTTGGCAGTGATTTACGTTCGGACACTGTCGACAGAAAAACCCTCGATTTCTCCTTAACATTTCTCTCTGAGGCCGCTTCCCTTGGACTTGCTTATGATAAACTACGAAGGGAATCTTCGCGAGATGGTGTGAATACGGTCCGGAATGCAACCGCTATTAATGTTCATGCAAGTATTGG